AGTTGGGCCGATCCATTTTCAAGTTTGCTGGAGTTACATCAATTGGAAAATCTTTTCAAAACCATTAAAAAGATATTGTTATTATTATAGTTCACTTGCGCTTTTCAGAATGATTCGATGTCTTTCTCATCATTCAAATGTCATTTTGTGTAACTCTATATAGTGTTCTAAACGGGCCTTATAGCAAAGTATGTGATTTCTCTGCTGGAGTATATGTGTATTTTGCACAAAACAGTCAGAGTTGGTTATTAAAACAGAGCCTTACTGATAGAATGAGGTTTAAAAAAATGTCTGGGCCCCCAAAATAGATATTAAATGATCTTTTCAGCCTAGCCTGGAAGGCTTTTTGATGCTCTTAACAACAAACAATGTTTTCTAGATATGGCCGGTAAGGATGGTAAAATAATTGAAAAATGACTTAGAATGCGCAAGTTCTGTTAAACACCACCTAAACTTTGTTTTAATAACCAGCCTTTAGTTTCAATTTCTAGATTCACAATTACCTAAAAATTTTAGAGTCTACATTGTGCCCAAAGCAAAGTGGCCTTTAAGGGAACAGGTCGTAAGTTGGTTTTTGTGTCCAGATTATGCAAACTTTGGACCACAAATTATGAGTTAAAGTTGCCTTTGTGTGTTTAACAGAAAGCTACATGTACATAAATGGAGTTAATATTTCTTATCTCTTAATTAGTGTTAGCCCTTTGTGGGTTTATAAATGGAAAGCTTTGTAAATATGCCATGTTATTAATACTGCTCAAGCGTAAGTAGGTCAAGATGGCTGGAATTGTTAGGGGTTTCAATGTTTTAATGAAACAATACAAAGTTTGTGATCAACAAGTTCTTTAACCTGTGTAGACTAGCTGGCAGTTTCATTTGGGGTGTCTAAGAGACATCTCTCACTTTACAAACTACAAACGAAAACAACACCCTGCACACAGCAAACAAACCGCCAGCTGCAGTGCGGGCTACAAGTTCTTGGAAACTCAGTGTTTTGTTGCAAGTTTTCCTTGGTTGAAAGTTTTTTTCTTTCTTAAAATAAAATGAACCAAGGATGATTTAATAAATTTCTACATAGGCATACCGATAATTTAAGACAGAATCCACCAGGAAATTGAGTAATTTTAATTTTCAGTGGACAAAAACAAAAAAAACAGAATAATTTAAAGAATTTTGCATTCTTTGTTTTACATTTTTCAAGGGCTGAAGATGTAATAAATCATCTGTAGTAACACCAAAGAAAATTTCTCATGGAAGTCTGAGAATTATGAATATCAAATTTTACGAGAATTGTGATTACACATTTAAAATTCTGAAAAATTTGACATTCATTTTCTTGGGCTCCCATTTTTGTTGTTGTCACTACAGATGATTTATTACATCTTTAGCCCTTGAAAAATGTAAGAAAGAATGCAACATGCTTTAAATTATTAAGGTACAAGATTTTTGTCCTCTGAAAATCAAAATTCCTCAATATCCTGGTGGATTCAAAATTTTTTTTCAACATTTACATTGTATCTTTATCATGACTGAACTGTAGCATTGTAATAGCATTGGTATTTTGTTAATTCCTATGTTTTATTTGCAAAATAAAATTAAATGTGTTACTGGTTCACTTTTTTAGAAAATACATAGTTTTTGTTTTGAACTGAACACATGGGGAGGGGTGAGGCAGTGGTCAGAGCACTCGACTCCCATCAATTTGGCCTGGTTTCAGGTCTTGCCATGTATGCCATATATGGGTTAGGGACCGGTCATTATTTATCGCCTGGGTGCGGGGTCGGAGGATTTTAGAGGGGATTACTTGTTTTTGGGAGAACAAAAGGGGGGATCAGTTGTAACTGAGAATCCAAAAGCGGGGATCGCTGAAAACCTCGGAAGGATTCAGAGTGGGGACCCCTCAAATTTGCTTGGAAAATGAAGACATGGTGGGGGGGGAGATCGTGAAAGTCATCAAAAGTTATTAGGGGGATCACTTCAGTGAAGTAACACTCAAAGGGGGTATGGGCTAACTTTCCTCTTGTTTTGCCACAAATCCTCCTCCCCCCTTTTGGAGATAAACAATGACCTGTCCCTTAGACCTGGTTAGTAATGAACGCGCTAAATTACTTGGGGGGATCGCCACCCGCGAGGAAGGTGTCCCACGCGCGGTGCTCTCTTTCTTTCGCGCGTCACCTTTCTCGTGGGTGGTGAGGAAAATGACAGAATACTTGTAGTCAGATTGTTAAGGCTATTTTCTTTCCCGACTTTTTTACTGCAAAAAAAATAATAAAGCATTGTTATGGAACTCTGGCGTCGAGTTTTCCCTGGAAGCAAAGAAGCTAAGCGACGTATAAAATCTGTCATTTAAAATTATTTTAAATGACAGATTTTTCAGGAGTGAACAGAAAAGCAAGAAATCCCGCAGGAAATCCCGAGCGGGCTAGATTACTGTGAAACTCAGAAACCGTGAACACAAGAAAAATTTGAAAATTTGGAGGCAAAAAAAAAAATGCAATTTATTTAGTCAGGAGAGTACTATTTGGGGACACTATTTTTACACGGGACCGCCATTTTACGTGGTCATCCGAGGCACGCGAAGGTCTAGCCGCTTACAGGTTAAAAAAGTACCTTCATATCTCAGTTATTTTAAGACCTTGAGTATTGTTGGTTTTCACATGACATCACTAAAATTCAAACCACTGAGCTAACCCTGCGCGGCCAATCACAATAAAGTTTAGGATACGAAAGGAATCCTCAAAACCACAAACTAATTACCATTGGTGTTTGCGGTTTAGTTATCTCGCGCCTTATTGGGTAATTTCTCGCAACACAATAACATGCCAAAAATATTTCTGGTGTTGAAATTGGAAAGGTCTTCCCTGTAATGGGAAAGGGAGCACGATAGGGATATACCGCTTTCACGAAGTTAAACTTCAAGCCGTTTCTGGACACGCCAATAAGACGAGGCATTATCAGCTCTGGGACGAGGTCACTTTTAACAGTAACCGAGACCCTCGCTGGTACTCTCGGAGGATGAAAGAAACACTTAACAGCATCAATAGGGACAGTGGAATTGAGAATTCTCGGCTGATACGAGGATGCCTACAGTCAGACACCGAACAGTACAACAGGACAGCGGACCACTGAAGGAACAGTCATCTCCTCTAATGCCAACAATGCTTTAGATCGAGCCCTACCAACCATGTCCTGGGTGAGGTTCGTGATACACCAATCACCAAGAACTACGGTGGTTTACTAATAGTTCCGCTAAGAAAATCGTAATTCGACTATCGTGAAACAAACGATAAAAGAAACCCTTAAATAATATTGATCTTCCGATATTTCACAATTTTCACCACTTAAAAAGGGTTATGTTATATCTGCAGTAGTTAAAGGTGAGAAGCGTGAACGAATTTTTACTGTGAAACTCACAAAACCGTGAACACAATAAATATTTAAGGAATGTTATTGTGTTGCCAGAAATTAGCCAATAAGGCGCGAGATAACTAAAACGCAAACAGTAATGGTAATTAGTTTGTAGTTTTGAGGTTTGCTTGCTTTGCTTGCTTTATTGTGATTGGCCAGTACACAATCAACAATCCTGTGTGCCAATAACACACATGTACTACGGCGGCAACACTAAGTAATTTGCATCAAAACCTTTATTAGGTAGTTTTCCAGGAAGATCATTTTGACAAGCAAATTTACTTGTATCGAAACAATTTTGTATCGAAACGACCGGCCACCGTCATAGCATAAGATCTTGTAATCTTGTCCGTGTGTGGTAAAACGGAACCCGAGGCTCAGCCACGGAGGTAGGTAGGTAGATAGGTAGATAGATAGGTAGATATAGGTAGTTAGTAAAATCCAACTAGTGGTCTATTATCGATGTTGAATTCTGATTGGTTGAGCTAATACTAGGCTATATGTTATAGCCCACTAGTAGCGAAAAGCGCTGGCTTTTTGGCGGCAAAAAAGGATTAAAGTCTAGCTTTAACTAGCTAAAGTTGTTTTGTCTCGATATTTTTGACCAACTAGTTGGATTTTACTAAAACAATTACTCCTCTCGCCCTCATGGCCTCTGAGTCAATGGGCTATTGACTCAGAGCCCATTCGGGCTCGAGGAATAATTGTTAAATACAATTCAAATAAGGAAACAGTATAAACTATCTACATTATAATAAAAATATTAAAGAAAAAGCTGCTTTCCATGAATGCCGTGCCCTTGAGTACTTGTTTAAGAAGACATTTGAATTTCGTAAGGGACTCTGCTTGTCTCACATTACACTGGAGTTTGTTCCATAGGATGGCGCCACTATAGCTAAAGCTATTGTTGTAATAATTTGTCCGTGGTAAAGGATGCAAAGTTTATTCTCAGAGTCTCTAAGGTTATACGCCGTTTCTCGTATTGCAAACCTAGAACTTAAATATTCTGGAGCCAACCGGTGTAAAGACTTAGAAACCATCGTGGCTTTTTCAATTTCATGCTGGCGTGCTAGATTTTTCCATCCTGGGAGTTCAAACAGGTAACCAGCGTCTTCATCGTAGTCTGAAATGTCAAAAAACGGGCTGCTCTAATTTGTAGTTTTTGAAGTTTGTTCCTTAAGGTTATCCCACAGTTTCTGGCCAAAACAGTATTGAAATAATTGAAGTGACGGTGAATAAGAGCTTGGTAAATTAGTTGTAAGGTCGCTTGGGGGACAAGGTGCCTTACTCGCTTTACGGCCCCGATGCCAGAAGATACTTTCTTTATTATCTTCTCCATATGGCTACCCCAATCGAGATTATTATTGATGGTCACTCAAAGAGATTTAGCAGTAGCGACTTGGGTAACTCGAAAATCATTAAATGCAAGTGTTGGAGAAACTGTTACAATACTTAGCCTCTGCCCAGATCCAATTGACATGAACTCGGTTTCCATAACTCGCAAAGTGCGCTTGCTGAGACGAAACTTGCTCAAAATACATTGTAGCAAGGCTTTTCTACTGAGAACTTCGACTGAGAATTTATCGCAGAGTTAAGATTTCAATCCATCTATGAATTTTATCGTCTTTGCCGCAGTTGAGCCTTCATTTCTTGAATGCGGTTCACCAACGGACGATTTGAAGTCGCACATTTTCCAAGGACTAGATCCAGGCCCCCCTCGCTTTTCTGAGCAAAAACTGTTTCCGCCGCATCTTCGTATTTCCTGGGACAAAAGCTAAAGTGTCGTTTATAAGTAGGTGGAATATGATTAGCTCGTTTCTCGAAAGTCCCGGTAACTCTTCGGGCCCGAAATCAAATATTTAAATCAAAATCACAGGAAAAAAACACGAGTCCTAGCCAACAAACCAGTCAATTTTGTTTTTACTGATAGAAAGCTACACGTCACATTAGTATGGAATATCTGCAAACATTCTTCAGACCTCATTTCGCGAGGAAACCAGTGGTGATGTCACAAAATGTCAGCTATTTTCTCAGGGTAGCATCAATTAGCAGTGCAGAACTCGAGTTATTGTTCCCAATCACTTACGAATTTGTATACGCCCAGGGTTTTGTGGTCAGTGGATTCAGTGCCCCCTTCTTAGTTCTGAGGTGAACGAATGAACGGCATAGTCGCAACACAAGTGACCACTACTCAAGGTAAGTTTGTTTAGTCAGCCTTTGAGTAGAGTAAGAACTTCAATGAACTGATAAACTCACCCGAGTTTCACATAACACGTCACTTTATTTTCGGGAAGAACCCTGGAGAGATATTTCTCCGCTTCTATCCAGGCATGCTTCAAAAAATGGCTGTAAAAAAGCAATGTAAATAAAATTTACAGCGTCTTCACACTGGAATATTATTCACAATGTTACAGTCATGGGAACCTATGAACGTAGCCTTTAATAAAGAAGAAATAAATGCTTTTGATAAATACCGACGAACCTTCCAATCGCCATCTGTCCAAGACGACCATGATTTTTATTCCGCCAGATGATCCATACATTCACTCTAGAAACATTTAATATCTTACGGAGTGGGGTTAGGGTTTCTTATTTCTTGTCCTATGGTAGATGTGTGGGAAAGGCAAAAAAATTTACAAAAAAGAGTGATGGACGTGTAGAGCTGTTGTTCCGCTCCTTCATTAACCTATTGTGTTTTACGCCTTTCTGTTACCTTCGCCATGGTAGTTTTGTAAGGTCCCAAATTACCTGCGTAAGTGAGTCCGGATTTTAAGGTTTAAAGGATTAGCTTTGCACGTATCTGTCCCTAGTTGAGCACATTGCTTGATTATTTCGGAAAACACTGTCAATGAACTTACCTCGTATCCAATTAGAGATTTACGAGCTTTGGAAAACTTGTAGAGTTCCAGCCAGTTGTGACTTTAAGGTCAAGGATCTTACTTTCAGCCAGTAAAACCTAAAGACAAGACAATGCGGCAAATGAGCTAAACTATGAGGAAGGAGTTTGAAGGGGTAGGAAAAGGAGGAATAACTGAGGTGCGCGTGAACGCGATGTCCGCGCGAGGAGGAAGGGAAGGAAACCCTGTCTGCTATTTTTCCTCGCGCGTCCTGATTCCCTCCCCCTCCTTTCACTACTCCTTCAAATGCCTGCCACACAGGCTACAAATCAGGGGTTTTAACTAACAAACATAAGCTGTACGTGGTACAACTAGAGGCTATTTCGAAAACGGGCCGTGTGAAAACAAGAACGCGATGAATGCGCGAGGAGGAAAGGACGGAAACCCTTTCTTCTCTCCCTCCTCGCGCGCCCTTATCCCCACCCCCTCTTTCACTCGACTTCCAATGCTTGCCACATAGACTACAAATCAGGGTGTGACCAAACAAGCCTTAGCTCTACATAGTACAGGCTATTTTGAAAACAGCCCCTGTGAGAACGAGAACGCGATGGGCGCGCGAGGATGAAAGTAGAGAGACCATTTGGGCCAGTTGTTTAAACGGAGTTTAACCCGTGTTTAACCAAACCGCGTTCTTGGCCATTTTCAGTTTGCTCAACGTTTTTATCTAAACACCATTTTTCGTGAAAAATCTCAAGAAAGTATATAGTGTAGACTGGAAAGGCACTTATTTTCTTTAATTAACCCCTTAAGAAAAGGATCTGGAAGTCCAATGTTTTCCTAAACCGCGGCCTAAGTTAGACTTCGTTTAAATTTCCTCCTCCCTAACGCGCCCTAATTCCCACATTTCCCTTCCCCTTCAAATGTATTCTACACAGGCTACAAATCAGTGGTGTGAACAAGTAAGCCTTTGTTCAACGTGGTGTAGCTGAAGGCTGTTTCAAAAAAGGGCCCTCAGATGTCAAAGGTCTCATTGTTTACGGTCTCTGATAAAAAAAATGTTACAAACCTTTTATCCGGAACCTTGAATTCCTTTTTCAGTTGCTCAGCAACTTTTAGGTCTCCTTGAAGTATGCACTGAAAAGTGTAAAGTAGTCCTTAGAAACTAACCCCAGGAGCAGTATGATAGTGTATGGGAATTAAATCTGTGACAATGAAGAAACTAAAGCTATTTTTAATAGTACTTTCCACCGCGGTTTACTTTGGCTTTTGTGCTTTGGTTTTAACTACCAAGTCTAGATAATAGTTTAAAAATAACAATCCCAACAAAAGCTACTGAGCAGAGATCTGAGAGATTCCAGCGTATACTGTTGATTTCAACTTCTAATATTTGACAATCTTTTAGTATGGCCATTCGAATGAAAGCTTGTACTTGACAAAGATTTCCAGCGGCACTGTTTATTAAGATGTTAAAGGTAGTATCAACATTTGATTATATTGATGACATCTTAATTTTGATCATTCAAATAAGAGATACTTTTCAGAGTTAAGTTACAATTTTGCCCTAAGTAAGGAAAAAGTGTTACTGTTGACTTAACGGGGGGGAGTGGTCAGTTACCCACAAACGTCAACTGATCCAGCTGCCCAACTGTACTGATCATGACATCTTAAAAATAAGCTCAGATCGAGAATGTTTGAAAATCCACGCTAAAGGCTAACACAGTTTAGTGTCTTTATCGCACCTGGTAGATAGTATCACTCAAAGACAGGTCCATAAATGCCTTTCTGTACTTCTCTTCTAGTTTGACTTGATATTCCATGAGTTGCATTTGTTGTTCTGTTGCCTGAAAAATTAAATCGTGCGTGCATACAATGCATCACTGACAAGAAATGTTTTATTAATATTTATATTATAGTTCAGAGCAGTATTACGCGCACTCTGATTGGTTTAAAAAGTGAGTTTATCAGAGTACAAAACACGGAGCTGAAGTCTTCAAGCCATCTGCTCATAGTTTGTTTTGAAAATTAGAAAGTAATGTGTGGCGAATTTAAGGGATTCTTTATCATAAAACTAATAGAGAAACATCTTTACTGTGCTTTGTTATGTTGCAAAGCACTTAAGAAGTAGGGATAAACACTCTCGACTAAGGCTCATGCTTCCACCTACACTTGGCCTTTCGTACCCCAGCCCGGAGCTTCCCCCAGCGTGATTTATATCAGTTCAGAGCACAGTCAAGGTATTTGTTAATCAATCACAGCTAGAGGAGTGGAGAGTTTCTGGGTGCTTTTGGTTCGAATATCGCAAGTTCATCCCGTATCCTAGATTACTAGGAGAGGCACAACGTCCCTCTTCTGTTTCTCCACACAGTAAGGAATGGGTGGCTCTAGCGTTGGTGGAGTTTGGAGAGCACACACCTTTGAGTAGAACTGAAATCCTCCTTGCTGGTAAGACATCTGTGCTTTGGACAATGTTTTTATCTTGGATTCTATCGTCTAAATAATAAAAATAGAAGAAAGGCAGGTTTTATACCAAGTGTACTGACAAGCGATAACAAAACGATTATTCTATTCTATGTCGACACTTTATAGATAACGAATTGCCTTATTTCTCAAGGAATAAAAAGGTGAACGCCAGTCTCCTTCCCAAGGATGTGATCCTTTTAATTTAGCACTAAAAGTGATCGTTTCGCCAGACAAGGGTAGCAAAAGCTCTGAGGACCAGATTGGGACAGAGGCCGGAAGGCGTCACGTAACTCAACAATTAACCCTTTGCGTGACGACCTTTCTTGCAAGTTGCGATTTTCTGGCGCGCGCGCTTAGTTCACTCGGCGATCCCTGTGAAAAATATCAGATAACTTGTAGTCTTAAGTTTCCTATACTTGTGGTTTCTTTGGTCACGTGGTCGCCGAATTGAGGGCGGCAAATATTAGCGCATGTGTAGCAGATAACATTGGTTATGATTAAAACGAATTTTGGTAAAGGTTTCGTTAAACTCAAGAAATGTACGAGTTAAATTATAAATAAGAGTTGCTAGACGTGTCACGTATTCTCGGCTCTTCTTGACGTTCAAAATAAAAAAGACTGCTGCCGACCTTAAAAAGAGTAAATTCGTTCCCAGGGGTTTATTTCATTTTCTAAACGGAAAACCTCCTGGGAATGAGGTAAAAGCAGAGCTTTGTAATCTGCTACAGTCACAACAAAAATAATGTATGACGCCATGAAGAAACGGAGTGAAGCGTGCGCACATTTGCTCAGGATTGAAATTACATATTAAGCCAATGAAGAAATAAAATAATGAAACAAATTATGACCAGATCCCCTCCTAAGCATGAAGAGAGAGAGAGAGAGAGAGAGAGAGTCGTGGATGAGAGGACAACAGACGTGCCCTCTTACAATACATTTTAACACGTGAACAGTAAGCTCGGACGTCAGCATACAAAGGCGCCACTGGCAGCCATTCTCAGTCCATTTGTGAGCTTACTGAACCCACCCAACCCATGGTGTGATTGATGTGATGTGTGAAGGTTGACCACAACACCGGGGTCTACATCCCCTACTCTTTTTTAACAGTGGTGTGGGTTCTTTTACGTCCCACAAGAACCACATAAGTGTAACCGCTGTGAGACGGGACCTACGGTTTTTTGTCCTTATCCGAGAAGACTGACAGATAGCATGATAGCATGATAGCATTCACGTTACTAGCTTATAATACCTTCTCGCTATAGCTGTCCTGCACAAAGGCGTTACCACTGGTCATAAACTGGTTATCCTGGTAGAACAGGTCCACAAGTGTACGGCAATCCTGCTCCTTGCAGTACTGCAGACAAATCACAGTCATGCCAAAGTGAATATATAGATTTCACAATAGCCTGCGTGGCAGTTTGCGTGGCAGGTGCAAAGACGAGGGGAGAGGTGGAGGGGAGTGAAGGGAAAAGGAGCAGAAATGAAAAAAAGTTGTCCTCTTTTTCTCTTCCCTTTACCCCTCCCTTTTTCACTTTTTCCGATACCTCTTAAGACGGCTGCTACACAGTCTAATGATTTACAATAACCGAGTGATTTCTGCGTCCCGATTGGTCTAGAGCTTTTGCTTTTGCTTATGACAGTACACAGCATAGAAACAAAAGGTTCTGCTCTTCTCTGCCTCTTGAGTACGATTCTCCAAGACATTGTAAAAAAACAAATAGACAAGTAGCCATTTTTCGCTGCCGAGACTCCGACATTTCAAAGAAATGACATTAAATATGCTCCAAACTTTGCCGTAAAACCACTCACCGTTCCACTTAAGTTTTAAACATTTTGACGTCATTTTTACGACCTAAAAGAATGAACAGATAAAGGAAAAAATGTCTCCTGGGAAAAAAAAATTGTGAAAGGTTTGAACCCAGGAGTCATTTCAAAAGTAGGTTGAGTTTGATCGTCCGGGTGAACGTAGTCCTGAATAGGACTGTTGTTGTTGACAGTGACTGTGCGGTAGTCATCTTCAGAGTCAGTTTTAGCGTTTTACCTTTTTAAAAAAGACAACAAACAGCGTGACAAAAACAAAACTCACCTGTCGATAAGGGTTTTCATTGTTAGTTTCTCCAGTCTAAGACGATCGTCAAGGCATCAAAATTTGATAATTTTTGAAAAATAATCAAAGAGTACTCTCAGAGGACAAAAAAGCAAAATGGAGCCCACTTTAAGAACTTGATAAGAGCCACAAAATTGAAAACTGTGTTAACGTACTTTTAACATATCCGTTTCAAAAAAGAGAAAAAGGAACACATCTCGTTCGTTCCCTGTAAAAAAAAAATGTAATTTAAACCCCACAGCTTTGCTCCGTTACATAAATCGCACCGAAATCACCGTTCTCTTGTGTGGACAGAAACACTCTCCGGTATGGTTTCCGTGCCGACGTAAGAGCTATCTGGCATAGTGTTAGCCTGCGTAGAAAAGGTTTCCGCGCAAGTTCGTCCAAAAAGTTGGGATCAGAGCAATGATAACTTAGTTGAAGATGATGTGAACTGCGGAAAGGCAAGTTTAAATGAAGATATGATCGTCGCAACGGAAATTGCAATTTAAGCAATTGCAAATTAACCCAAACAATAAAAAATTTTTTTCGTCTTGCTACGGAGGCTAGCATAGTGTAGACTTGCTGCAACACACGCTGCAATTGGGCAAAATGTAACCTGTGAGACGACGCTTTTGCAACAACTGAAAATTTGGTTCACTCTTGAATTAAGATAAAGGATACTCTCCATATGTAAGTGGAATTCCAACCATGTAGTCCCGCACGGCGTTTAACACTCTAAGATTCCGGCACATCGAAACAAACGCGTGTGGCGGCATATCAGTTAGAAAACTCTCACCAAAGGAAGCAGCCTAGCAAAGAGAAGAAAAGATTACAGCGGAGATCAGTTAAAAAAAACGGTTATACTATAGGTGGAATTTTCCCCAACATCGACCGCCAGAAACGGCTTGGAAACTAAAATTTGATAGCATTTTGTTTTGAATAAGGGTATGGGCATGATTTTCAGTTGAACATGCCTAGCGAGCGCAAAAATCGCATCCAGTCTGAGGATTAATGAGAGAGGGAAAATTTTCTATATTTAGGCATGTCAAAATTCAAGGGAACATTGGTACTTAGAAATAACATCTCATAGGCATGGAAAAAAAGGGTTCATGCCCTCGCAGCCCAAAATTGACCCAGCTAAACTTAGGTCCCAGATCTCTCGCCGGGTTGATAATTCATTCCCAGTTTTTGCTCCTCTGGTTTGGCATGCCGGGCATGCCGATGGTGAAGCCAGTTGGTTTGGCATGTCCGGCATGCCAGGCAAGAAATTGGCATGCCCAGCGAGACTGATTTTGATGTTCGCTTCGGCATCATATCCCTAAAATCACATATAATCGCCAAGTATATCTTAGGGAGCTTGAAGTTACAGATTTCATGCCTGGCAATAAATGCAGATTATAACAAAAAAAGTCATGTTTGTCACGTGTGTCACGAGATCGACTGGCAAAACTGAAGACAGAAGCCTGGATTTATAAATAAAAAGCACAACAAAACAACATTATTCATGCATAAAACAGAATACTTAACTTGCAATCAAAGATTAATCCTTTTATTTCAAACCGATACTGACATTTCTGGGTCCATATTTAAATTTGATCGCGGAAAAGCGTCTTACACAATAAGATAACAAATCTTCTCAGTATAAACTTATCCATGCTTAAGTTTTATAGCGTCGGAATGTTTCCTGGTCAACAGCATAAAAGACTGGTGAAAATTAAGCTTACCAGGTCGGTCAAGTCAGTACGAGAGTACGACGTTAATACTGCAAAGACGTTCTGATCTGGTGCATTTGGACTGCCTTCTCAGAGAGATTTTGCTTAGTTTTTCAGTGCGCTTCTTGTCGGCTATGCGAATCTCGCAAACTGTTTTAGTCCTTGCTGACGATAGTTCTTTGAGCAACGTCATCTGCGTCATGCGAAGATACCCCGAGCACGCACGAAATCGGCCGAATTTCCGCAGAAGTGTTTTCGGATGACGATGAATCTAGTTTGTTGTAGCGTGGCAGTTGTGGCGTCACGATGTCGTCATGTCTCTTCGCATTTGTTTGTCTTTTTTTTCTGCGGTGCATGGTTGAGATGTTGGTGAAAGCTGGACAAGAAGTGGATTCTGCGAGAGACTGTAAGTACAAATTTAGTATTAATTTGGTAAAGAAAAAGCCTGAATATCGACCAAATCCCGTGAATTAGTCTTTTGGCATTCAGTTTATCTTACTGTGGAGCATGCCTAAGAGCTCCGGCATAAGTGTCATAAGTGGTTGTCAACTCGTTCACTTCGGATTGTTTCTGATTGTATGTCTTGTAATCTTCTTCTGCTGCTAAGAAGACTAGAGAAAACCTCAAAAATAAAGAAACCAAAGCTAAAAAAAGGCAGATCTAATTTTATAGCTCGAGTATAATTATTTTTGGCACCTACGGTCATATTTTTTCAATGAGTTTGACTAATAGTCGCGGGTCGCGGGTCGCGGGTCGCGGGTCGCGGGTCCAATGTCGCGGTCGCGGGTCCAATGTCGCGGTCGCGGGTCCAAAGTCGCGGTCGCGGGTCCAATGTCGCGGTCGCGGGTCCAATGTCGCGGTCGCGGGTCCAATTTCGCGGCAGGAGATAATGATTTGAAAATGACTGATATGAAAACAATATGAAGGGAAAAAATCTTTTTTATGCACGGTACTCTAGGGTAGCCAATTTACAGGTTACGCATGTTAGAGTCAACAAAATAATGTCTCAAGAAAAGACCTAAAAGAAAAAGCTGGCCGACTTTTGTGTTCACCGCAAGTTTATTTTGTTTTCTTTCTGCGGGCCCAGTTAAGTGTAAATTCAGCTTTGAATATACTTATGTATAACAGTATCTGATAAAAAATGTTACCAAGAGTAACCATTGTTTTCTTCTTGTCTATGAATTGCTCACAAATTCTTAGTGGTGCATTCACTGAAAAATGTGCGATACACTTCATAGACTATAAATTATAAACGTTACAACAACTTAAAACCTTTTTTAAAAAAGACTAACTCGGGCTCGAAAAGCTACGAGTCTGTCGGTAGAAGAAACGAGATCTGTTTCAATTTTAACAAATGTTTTCGGCAAAAATAAAGAAAACGCTTGTTGAAAAACGTCCTGGTCGCTGTTACGAAAAATTGTATTGCGTGAATAGTGTGGCTTCGTGAGAGTTCATAATTTGTTTATTTTAGGATCTTGTGTAAGCGTTTCTAAAAGCGGTATATTTTGTAATCTTTCTATAATTAGACTATTTGGAAAGTTCTAGAATCTTATTGTAAACGTATATAAGGTAGGCGAGCCCGAGTTAAGTTTTAACTAGTTTTCACAAGCGAAGAGAGTTTGACGTTGGTCGTGTTTAGTCAAGTGTGACGAAGGCAGTGTTTATTCAAGTTGGCGGAGGCCGTGTAAGTTTAACGAGTTACGTGCTGTTGTGGAGTTTTACTCAGTGGAAACTACGTTCATCTTTGGAATAAATCTTCTTGTTGCTGTTCCGACAACCCTGCGTTCAGTTTAGTTTGCAAGCTACCCGTCCTCTAAAAGATTACCCGCGTAACAGTCGCAAACTCCCAAAATAAACTCTTTGCACAAGTAACTGGAAAGAGGAGGAGAGACGTTGGGCTTGAAGTGCCAGTAAAGTACATTCAAGCGGGTATTCAAGGCATGACTTTAATAAAAAACAAGTAATAATCCACAGCAAGAGGGGATAAAGCTCGAGCTTTATCCTCTCTTGTCCACAGAAAGGAGTTTGTTCCCAGTAACGATTGAAATCCGGAATCCAAGTTCTACCAAGAGAGAATAGATCATAGTCTCTTGGTTCTACTGACTAAGACTTGAATCCAGTACCTGGAATCTGGAATTACTTACCTAATTTATTGTCTTTTCTTAGCTCTGGTGGAGTTGATAACTTACCGTTTTCAGTGTCCGGTTTACTTTCTTTTTCAGCTTCATGATATCGGGCGTTATTATTTCCTTACCTACTTACTCACTTAGTTATTTACGATGCATGTTTTCAAGATTTGACTGAGACGCACGTTGAATGGCTTCCTACTGTCAGGTTGTCCTGGTTGCCATTTAGGTGAAGAGAACAAGAAGTTATATTGAACTCTCTGGGTTGCCGTCTCAGTTGTAAAAATAAAAGCATTAAGCGAAAATCTTGCTTCGAGGAACAGACTTCTTTCTGTGGATTATTACTTGTTTCCATATTAAATTCATGCCTTGAATACCGCTTGAATGAAGTTTCATGCGCCTATTTACATTTTCTTTCAGTTTTGCCGAAAACATTTGTTAAATATAAGAGTTCTCGTTTCTTCTACCGACAGACTCGTAGCTTTTTGAGCCCGAGTTCGCTTTTTTTTTAAAAAGGCTTTAAGTTGTTGTAACGTTTATAATCTGTAGTCTATGAAGTGTATCGCATATTTTTCAGTAATTGAAGCCTTAAGCATTTGTGAGCAATTCATCGACAAGAAGAAAGCAATGGTAACTTATGGTAACTTTTTTTATCAGATACTGTTATGCATAAGTATATTCAAAGCTGAATTTACACATAACTGGGCCCGACAGAAAGAAAAAAAAAATAAGCTTGCGCCGAACACAAAAGTCGGCCAGCTTTTTCTTTTAGGTCTTTTCTTGAGACATTATTTTGTTGACTCTAACATGCGTAACCTGTAAATTGGCTACCGTAGAGTATTGTGCATAAAAAAGATTTTTTCCCTTTATATTGTGCTCATATCAGTCGTTTTCACTCAGCTGTTACCTCGAACCCCAAATCATTTTCCCCTGCCGCAACATTGGACCCGCGACCGCGACTTTGGACCCGCGACCGCGACATTGGACCCGCGACCGCGACTTTGGACCCGCGACCCGCGACCCGCGACCCGCGACCCGCGACCCGCGACTATTAGTCAAACTCTTTTTCACTGTACCGGTAAAGTTACTTATTTTTGCTGCATAGTTTGACTGTTGTTCGAAAGACAATCAAACGGATATTACAATCACTTTTGGAGACAAAATAAAATATCCGTAAATCAAATGCCAAAATCAGATTTGGATTTCGCTTTATAAAAATGAACATGCTGCAGGTGTCAATGCAAAGTTGTAAACAACTCAATATAAGCAGTCTGTGAATGTGCGTTTAGGTCCACAAAACTAATTTTTCTTTTGGACATCTCATCCAAGCAAAGACTTAAGGCTTACATTGCTTGTCTACGAGTGTACTATAAAATGCTTTGCTACAGTAAGCCTCTGAGTGGCGATTCTGGTAAATTTATAGGACGCTAAAATGCAAATAATTCTAAGCTTAAACAACCTGGCTGGGTCCGACTTCTGAATTACAAAATGTTCACGTTTGCTGGCTCTACTTTAAATGAACATGGTTTTTGAAATGATTTTGTACTATTTTAACCCGAAAATTATGACTGGGTTATAAAGCTTTTAAAACGGACGAAAACTAAGCTAATAAACATGTTCAATGTAAAAAACTAAGATTTAGTCGCTTTTTCAACTTTGCTTTGTGGGCCGAAAAATTTACCTTTACGCAAAAACAAAAGCAAACAATGAGGCTTTTATTCGACAAATTTTCTCAGAATTTTATCTGATCAATTTAATGTCACTAGCATTGTTTTCGTATAGGAATTTTCCTAATTATATGAGCTTTTACTTAAATAATTTTGATACTCTATAAACTTCTCATTTGATAGCTTCACTTTTTTATACACCGATTGAGAAACAAATTCGCTCTCGTTAAATCCTATTTTATGACCTATTTATTAGAACTCTAGGTAACATACCAAATGGTGTAACCGGACAGGCTTTAACCTTTGGTCCTAATTTATTTTTTCTTCGCATCCTCTAATCAGTTGACGGGCCGTGAGAGAATATCGCCACAAAAAGATGCGAAAAAGTTTTCGCTGAGTTTCCTTTACATATTTCGGCTTTATATGAGTCTACACCTTACCTGCTTAAAAATGAAACTTTTGTTCAATTAAGCCAGTCAAACTCGGTATAATCTTGACTTGCAAATCCAAATGCAAAGGTTTATTTCGCAGTAGAAGAGCGTGTAAACATCATCGAACAACGCAATGTAAATTGGCTAATGTGAAACCACGTTTCTTTCACTTTATTTACCATGCATTTATCTCAATTGCACACTCTTGTGAAATTAGCCTCAGACAATTAGTTGCGACCTTTAACAGACTCAACAAGCCAGTATGTAAATATGTTAAGAGAAGCTGAGCTCAACATGTTCTTTTTCTTTTTTCTCATATTGCCCTTGCATGTGTTAACATTCCATTTCTTTTTTGTTACAGGTAACTTCCAGACATGACGAGGAGATAATTACTTTTCTAGAGAGCAATTCTTTGATACTGTCAGTTATTACTGACTTACTTTGAGATAAAAACAGAGAACACAGACACTGGTAATGACACAAAAACATTAATCCCAGGCAAGCCTACAAAACAAGAAAGAGGAACTCAGACTCCTTATCAAAATGTGAAACAAGATAAAAACAGCTTTCCTAACGTAGGGAAATTTGCTTTAGAGAGATTTGTAATTGCAACGTTATATTCAAGCACATTGCATTGTCAAACATCATAATTTACTGAATAATGAACAATGATTTTGGGGCTTAGCTCAGTTTGTAATGAACTTTGAAAGATATTCTATAACCCTGTATTTTTAAAAGCTTTCATGGAACATAGATGCATTTTATTATACAATGAAAATAGTGTCTGTCTCTCTTTTTACTGATTTCAGTCAATTCCATTTTATTCGCAATGTGAAATGGGAATCCTATTAAAGACTCATTAAAAGGGGTGAGGAGTTTTTACAATCCCCCAACAGGTCATCTCCACGATGACGCTGTTTTATCACTACGGCAGAATCCCTCAGGGCTTTACTTTCTTGTGAAAATTAGAGCTTTTGTTATTTAAACTTCGCTGGGACAACCAAATGGAATAGCAATGACGTCATCGTGTAACCGTACATCAAAAGATAAGCACGGTGATCTGTTTTTTTTTTTTTTTAGCCAGGCTTAAAATATCTGTAGATTCAAGGAATTATAACCTGTGCGTTGAGACCATGCCAGAGACCGATTTTGGCATGCCCGGCATGACCCAGATTATGGCACGCCCGGCATGCTAGAGAATTTGTCATGCCGGGCATGTCAGAGAATGTGGAATGCCCGGCATGCCGGAGATTTTGCTGGGTATGAATTACTTATTACTAGAACCTAGGCTTCTCGCGGCCTGGGTGAGAAGGTCACGGAACCTCAAATTGTGCTTACAGGGCATGCGAAATTCTGTTGCATGCCAATTTCAATGCAAAACCACTCTGGGGCCACCCCCTCTATTACCAGTGAGCAAATCATTGACGATAGGCATGGGAAAAATCCTTGCATGCTAACCAACATTGAAAACGTAGCAGAAATGTCCTTAGTTGCTGAGTCATGCCCTAGGGGAGGCTTTAAAATACAGAATTTCCTGACATGGTGAGAGAATTTTCCGTAAACAGCATGTGATCATGCCGGCTAGGACGCATTTCTTCCGTATTGCCCCTTTTTACAGCTAGCTAGGCTCATTTTTAGGTTCCATGGCCTGAAATGACGAAAAATTCATGCCCTGAATGTAAAAAGTCCAAAAACGTCCTCGAAATTTTAGTTTCCAAGCCGTTCAGAGCGCTCTTATTGGTTACTACAAGGACACATGACATGTTACACGAGAACTACTTCCCGCCTAAAATCTCTGACCAAGCGACGTTACAAACTTCGCTGGTAGATGGTAACAGAGCAGTGTTATTGGCGAATGTTGACCACTCGCTGAGATTTGCTATACTTTCAATTCATCCTGTATAACTGAAAAATCACTGAATAACGTGTTCGTCGAAAGCATTAATGAAGTTCTTATGTCTCTTACTACACTCCTCAAATAGAAACATAATGGACGAACTATGTGCGCTCTTTCGCTTTCAGTTCAAATTACCCTGATATACTGAGTACAGATTTTCTTTTCACGACATCACGTTCAACGATTTATGCCCAAGCGAATTTGACAGAACTTCAGCAGATTAACTAAAACTTTTTCAGTAGGAGGTGATGATTTTGAAACGGAAGACAGATAATGTATTTTTTCAAACAATGCTAAATTTATCTGGCAGTTTACGGAGCACAAATCACAGTGTAAGAAACCTTAAACTTTTCAACAACTCCCCCACCCCCTGGGGGCGGGTTGCTGTGAGAATCAAAACGTAGCAACTGAACATAAGGATCATGTGGTTACTATGACTACCTCTGAAATTATACTCACCCTCAGCAGTCCTCTTTGTATTGCAGGCTCATGTTCCGCGGCAGCGGCGTGGATACATTGCTGGACAGCCTCAGGAAGACGTTCTTTGATCATCCGAATGTACTCCTCTGCTCGGGCGCTCTTTTTCTGTTTACAGGAATATACACGAAAGAATCGTAACGACAGCTTAATTTTAGGGATTTAGTTTTTGGTGTAGTTTAGAATCTTTAAGTTGAAACTTTAATGTTGTTCGTCAGGTATTCTTTTTATTTTCATTATTGTTCTTTCTTATGAATTCTGTAAAGCGCTATTGAACTTTTGGACTGAAATAGCGCTATATAAATAAAGTTGATTATTTTTTATTATATGGAGAAAAGTTGGCTCAGCTAGGATGGTGACCTTACCAAGGAAAACAGGTCACCCAACAACAGGCTCGCCCAGGGTGGCTCGAAGTGGCGGTCTAACAATAAAGGGGGAGGGGGCGAGCCCCCTTGGCTCCTTCTCTACATCCGCTACTGGCTTGGGTAGGCGGCTGAGCCTTTTACCCGAGACAACTTTTTCCCAGAGAGAGTGAAGCACTGCTTGCCTCAAATTCCTTTGATGCATCAAACAGCATCGCACCTGGTTCCATTGAACCGATTTTAAACACTTGTTCCACAGCAGCTGAAAGATGAATAGAAATAGTTGCTCTAGTATCGGACATAATTATTCACATTTGTGATAAGAAGTGGTTCTGGCTGAACGGTAACCGGTCAAGTCACTAGAAAGTCATCTCGCCCGAAGTCATAGCGCCTGAAACCAGAGTAATGTCGCCCGAAATCCTAAGTCATGTCGCTTAAAATTTTATCGAGTGTATAAACTTGAACAAAAGTATCATCTGAAGTATATCGCAAGGAATTTAGTCGAAAAATGTTGACTCAACTGTGTCCGGTAACCTATGCAAATGTGAAGTTAAACAAAGACGCAAATATCGCTGTTTATTTCGAGAGACATAACTCTGGTTTGGGGCGACTTGACCGTAAACCGATTGAATACGTCGACTGAAATAAAGTTTAGGGCTTTTTGCTTGTTCGTGACAACAGGGTACCCATTTTCTTTGGAGGTGGGAATACTGAATGTAGAGTCAGTCCAATCTGCTTCCGGGGAGTAAGTTAAAAAATCATACATAAGCCACAGCAAGATCAAACTGAGCTGAAGGTTTAAGTCAACAGTCTCGAGAGTTTATTTCGCTTTAAGCACCTACAGGCAATGACACGTTTTAATAGAAGGTAATTTGAAAAAGCATCAAATGTCTGTGGAGAAGAAATAAATCTCAAGGACATCCCGGCCACCAACAGGGATCGTTACTTTTGGCTATATTTCGATAGCTTTATGAATCGAGAACAAGAGAGAATATCTGCGAGCATTTTGAAACCTTTCACTTGTAGTCTGCGAATAGGGACCGCGGAGCGGATTTTCAAGTGGGGGGGTCCAGGGGCATGTTCCCCCGGGAAAATTTGAAATTGAAGTCTTCTGAAATGGCTTGAAATGGATCTAAAACTGCCAAAAGTGAAGTTAATTTTTAATTCTTATAAAACAACGAGTAACAAACTGTCCTTCACGTCTGACCAAATTTAAATGAATAGACTAACTTCTAAGCTAAACCCAACAGACGCAACGGTTGAGTGCCACCCGGACATTTTTAAGTCGGATTCTTTGAAGGTGCCAAAGTTGCTTTTTTGATTTTCATTGAGAGCTGCAAACTCATTGGCAACATCTATAAGACAAAGTTTGTCTGTTCTCTGCTTGTGGGTATTAAGTATTGTCAGATTGCTAAATCTTGTTTGTGTCATCGTCGAGCGTAGCCACGTTTTCAGTCTCCGAGTAGAAGAAAAGGATCTCTCGCCTGCTGCACTGGTTGCTGGATTTACAAGAAAAAGTTTACATAGGGTTATGATTTCAGTTATCATACACTTTTCGGCTTCAGAAAGCTGCTTGATCTTGGCTAAAATGTCATCAAAAGAGGTAAATTCTCCGTCCTTCATCAACAGCTTAAAAATTTCCAGTTGAACATTCAATGTTCTAACATCAACAGCCAAAAAAGTGGGGGGCCTAAAGCCCCCCCTGCGCCGATACAGCCGTTTCACCTTGCTCCTCGTTGCTAAGGAGGTTTCGCCAGGAGGAGAAACCGCCCGCAATCAACGTAATCATATTTACCAACCTGGAACTCGCTGAAGCAGTTCATGAGTCTCATTACCAATGATTCTTACGCCATCTAACTCTTGAACTAAATGTACAACACTGTCCATCTGATATGTGAAATATGTTAAGAAAGTGTGCTATCCGTAGCATATGCATATTTATTAAAACTGGACCATTGGGTAATGCAGTTAAAGAGCTCTGATTGGCTTAGCCATAATAGTAGATGAGCCACATACCAAAATTTGAAAATCGGTTGTTCTTACAAATAAAGTCGGGAAGAATTCTCGATATTTTGTGGGCGTTTTTAATAAACAATTATTCCACTCATATCCAACGCGCACTCGTGTAATAATTGTTAAATATATGGCAATAGCGTGCTCAATAAAAAAAACTACTCATATCTACACTAGTAACAATTGTCAGTTCAAATCAAGGGTGTTTTTAGTAACACGATCAATATATAATTGCAGCATGACAACAAAATTACCAACTTGGCCAAGCCAACATTTGCAACAACAAGAAGAACAATTTTTAATTTTAGTATGCTCTAGCAGTAAGATAGCTTGCCCCGCAAATAGTTGGAAAGCTAGTCGGATATGAAGAATGATCTTGTTGATCAAGGATATCTAATAGTGTCCATTGTCGGTCCAGCGACATCCAAATAATCGTCCCAGTAACATATGACACCGCCCATTGCACACCTGTAAGGTAAGTTGAAATAAGTAAAGATCGGAACACACAAGGAGACAAGTTGCAGCAACACGTGTCGGCGACAGATTACTCCCTGTGTACAGGTCAGGAGATTAGTTGCAGCAACACGTTGCGGCGACACATCGTTAGATGGGTGGCGGAAGAAAGAAAAACACCGATGGGTCTTAGTTTGAATTCAAAAGAATGGCCCGGCCAACCGGGCGAGAATTTGTCAAAAAAGACGAGAGCCTTCATTCTAGAAACAACAATTGCTCCCTCCTTACCAGGTTAGTTGCTTGGGTCTTGATGGACAAGACGTGTTGAACTCACAGTAGACTTTCTAAAGAAGACAGAAATACAACAATAACTGCAAAATTCAAAGAACTGCAAAATACAGGCGTACTTAAGTTGAGCTCTTAGGGGCCTGGCCTAGCGGTCCGGGTTGCTAAGCTTACTCACTTTGCGGAGATGTCAGCAAGTTAAATGAACACAATTAAAATCAACTTTGCGATGACATGAAATTGTTTCTGCAAGATTTCCGAGGAAGAAGTGGCTAGACTAAATTAATGAAGATATCCCACCATGTAGAACTAAGGCAGATACGGGTCTTCATTTGTTACAAGAAAAGATACCTCAAATTCGAGTAGTATAAGCCTTTTTACACGCCTTCTTCAAACCTGGGTATAGCATCAAAGTTAGTACTGCCAGTTGAATTAGACCGCCACTCATTCTCATTTTGTAAGAATCCGAGTCAACTCGGCGCTAGCTACTGGAACTCGTCCTCCTGATAGCTAAATTTGCGGGCTGAACAAATGTGACAGTGTTATACCCACCTGTAAATCTGCTGATCCTATCCATAACAAACCAGTGTCTGTAAACATTGCTAGGTATTCATAATTGTAAGATATGGCCATTTCTATGATGGAAGTGACCGGGGCCCCAGCGCTGAATGAAACAGTCTGAAAGTTGAAGAATATCAAAACTATTCAACAACAACAGCAGCCGGCGAGCATACTCACTTGTGTGAGTTCGGGGAAGATTTTGTCATCAATATAAACGATCAAGACTTCGCTATTTCATATTTAAAGTTGTGACACTGATAAAGCCAGAGATGTAATATTCTCATTGCGACATCTCAACACACTTCTCTATTTTCTCCCCTCCATTCCTTCCTTCACCCCGCACCCACTGCTTTACTACGCCCTGTGGCTGATTCAGGATTGGTAAAAAGTAGCAACCTTTCATACACTTGGCACTCAAGAGGAAGTTTACGATGTCCAGACAGCGACAGCAAAGAGAAAGTCGAAAAGGCAACCGGGCGAATTTTCGACCGGCTGAACTTGAATTCGAACGTTCACTCGAAACAGCCTTAAAGGTGATATTACACGAGACGACTCGCAACAACCATTTTTAGTGCAAGCCGTAACACGGTGTTGCAACATTGTTGCGATAATGTTTCGAATGGTTGCAACATTGTTCCAACATTGCAACGCTGTGTTGCGGCGTATCGTCTCGTATAACATCACCTTTACCGTACGAAAATTCAGACGCATAGCCGTTCAAAGTTCCATGTGAACAACGAAATAATTTCACGTTTTATGGAAAACGTGAACACGATTATCAATTTTTCTCTTTTCCGCTTAGGTGGGGTAACCTCCCTGTCCATAATTGTAATCTCTCACTTCAATTTGATCACGTTTACATGATAGGTGGGGTGACCTACCGCATGTTACTTCACCTATCTGGGGTCCCCCATCTTCATGTAAACAGTCCCTAAGAATTTAACTCCGTCCTAGACAAGTCCAGGACTCGCCTGCATTTGAAAAATTATGCGTGTTGGATTCACCGCAATGAAGTTTCAAACAACGCGAATTCTCTTTTTAAGAGACGTTTTCACCACCGTTGCTGAGTTGCAATCGATGTGCGAATATCTGCTGGATACACGTTTCTTAAAATCCTAAAACTGCCGACGAAAAGGCAGACGTTTTAAAGATGGGAACTTAGTGAAAAAGCAAGCACGTCTCGAGCTTGGCGATATTTTTCATGGATGAAGAAAAAACAATGATTGGATTATAAGTGGTTGTATCACTGACGATAGCAGTTCTACTGTATACTACAGCTCACCAGTCTATTACACTGTCCCTTTTCTGTAAGGTATAACAGATTATCAATTGCCACTAGCAACGATGAACCTCTGTCATGCGGCATAATGACCCAGCTGCTGGGTGGAGCATCCAAACCTGGTTAAAAAAATTATGGGTCGGTTATTTAAACGAAGTTGAATTTAAGCCGGGGTTTAACGAATCTTTGGACCTCCAGATCTCTTCCTTAGTGCGTTAAATGCTTTTCTAATCTACTCTAAATGCTTTCATAAAACACTTCACAATAAACGGTGTTTAGATAAAACCGTTAGGCAAATTGAAAAATGGCTCAGAACGCCGTTTTGTTAAACACTGGCCAAACTACGTTTAAATAACTGGCCCTATGTTTCTTAAGAGTCATGACTGGTCATTTTTTGCCGTCCGGTTAGCTCAGCTGGATAAGCGCCGGTCTGCTAAGGAACAGGTCGCTGGTTCAACACACCGGCCGGATCAACACTTAGGCGGGGGTCTTTTAATGCTGAGCAGAAAGTGCTGCCTTTCTAAAGACATCTGCAAACGATTTGACTTTCTAGTTTTCTCAGATAGGGACAGCCCTCAGGTAGTTAGGTGACAGAATTTTAACGAGTTGGGATCGAGAGCAGTTATTGTTTTCCTTGTGAAAAATGTGGTAAAATACACATTTAACTAAGACAGATCATTGTAAATATTTAAGAAAAGAAAGCCCGAAAAATATTCCTGCCGCAAAAAAAAAAGAAAAAAAAAAATAGAATTCACGCCCACTTGAAGTCAGTCAAATGCTACAAGGAGTGATGCGTGACAAGATTTCTTTATTGCCTGTTGAAAAACACTTTAACTCTCATCAAATTCAAACTTATCACCAAAGTAAAGTGAGACACAAGCAGATATTGAGTTCTATAGATGACAAAAGCATGTGACATAAACATGTAACTTAAAAATAAAACATTATTAATCTCTCTGAAACACTGAACTTTATGATTTTTTTACCTGGCGGGTCATAATACCGTCAACTCCTGACCTCTTCCACGTTGTTTGCAACATAAAAATGGTAATTACTAGTTAGGACAGCTATGCCAGTCCTTCCAGCAAAATTATAGGTTTTGCAGTCAATAACTTTAGATTCCTTGGCATCCTACAAAAAAATGCAGATAAAAATTACCAGTTTCGTCTCCTGTATCCAACTTAAAAGCACCAGATCTATGAAGTTGCTGTGTACTTGATAAGGCCAGTTTTCTGTTTTGTTAGTTCAATAACGACACAGCAGTTCAATAAGTAGACAACAGATCAATAACCACACCAGTGGTTCAATGACTACACATCAGTTCATTGAGCGTAAACTACATGCAGCTGCGGGAAGAATAGCCACAAATACGTTAGTTATTTTTTAATAAGAATGCATAGCATTAAGTAAGTGGTAAATACTCATTTAGCTATGGTACGAGAACTAAATAGATAAATAGCTATGTTACACTGTTATTAAGTACTAGTGAGCTCACTAATATAGACGGGAACATAGACTGATGTTATTTAAATTTTAGTCCCCTCAGAAGGTCTGTCATTCTCATCAGGGGCACAGTGAACAGACCTGGAAAGAGAGTCAGCGCCGAAAGGGTGAAGCCAAATTGGTCCGGAGAAAACTTCAACTAAATAACCCGACAACGCGCGCGTTAATAAAGCAGAAAAAAATACAGTTAACCGTGGATGAAATCAATCTTGTTTTTTGACTCTCTTTCCGCACGTTTCAAACCGTGGTACCACAGCTGGCCCTACGTGCTTGAGTTGACTACCATCAATCTATGTTTAAAATAGTTATTTTTACCGTACAAGTCCTGAACTTTCAACTTTCTTGGTTGTTTCAAACTTGAAAGGCAGCTGCTCGCTTCCTGACCATATTTCAAAAATCTGCTTTCGATATGATAATGTCTGTGCAAATATGAGAGATCATAACAATTGCAGGCGATGCCTCACCAAGGTACCAACAATTTTCTTTCCTAAACGAATTAGAAATAAAGTTTCAAATGCGTCTAACTCACCGCAGCTTGAATAAAAACAACTGGTAGGATGACTGCACTTTGTTTTCTTCACTCGATGGCTTACATCATTTCATATCACGCGCAATCTCTTCAAAAGTTAACCGGCAACCGCCGTGAACTTTCGCGCGCAACTTGGAGGAGTTACGTCACAGTAATCCTAGTGTCCAAGTGAGGCCTTTTTCTCACTAGTTCGGTTTTCTTATTCCAAAGAAGATATAGAATTAAATTACATAAAGTTTATGTCTGTAAAAATGTACAGCATTTTTTTAGTTAACCATTTCCATTATGGGCTAAGCCAAAAAATACATAAATAAATAAATGTGATGAAGGTGACATACAAACACACAAACAATTATTTAAATAACAATAATAATGAGTTATGACGGGGTTTTACAACCATGATACCCCGCCCATAAACATCCCTATCTGATTTTACAAGCAACCAAAAGGATGCCTGTCGCACGAGTGCAATGACCCTCTACAGCCGTGAACAAGCTGACAGGTCTGGCGCACAGCGGGCAGTTTAAGGGAAAGACATGGTTGCAATATACCAGAATAGCCCAGTATATGGATTCAATAGCTCAGTTTTCTGTTTTGTTAGTTCAATAAGGCCACATGCAAAAACAGCATAAATACAATGTTTGTTACGGGTTAAAATCATATCCAGGTTGATTCTTGATTTCCTTTGTCTCATAGCGCTAATTCATGAATAAATTAGGACTAGGCAACAAGGGAGATAGAGAATCAACCAAGGCTAAAAGATTTTAACCTGAATTGAAATTTTGACCTGAAACATATACCACATACGGGTAATATTATTCAATGGCCATGCCTTTGCTACAAAAAGTATATGTATGAGTATACTCTATTTTTGTACAACACCTTTAATAAAGTAGCAAACAGTCTATGACTTATGTTTTTGATGATAATATATTATAAATTACATTTACTTTGCTTATAGTTATCGAAAAATTAATGATTATTTAATTTGTCTGAAAATTTATTTACTTGGGGTGGTTAAAGAATTGACTGACATAAGATATGGCATCAATGGACTAAGATCAGGGTGCGCCAAAACCTATGTCCGATTGTCCAGGACAGGTAGAAATACAGTTCGGACAAGTAGACCTTTGACATAACTTGTCCGTGGGACAAGCACATTTTTAATTAGAAAAAATATAGAAACAGGTGAAAGTTGACTTCAAATTACAGTAGAATTAAAATTTATGTTATAGTCATAAAAGCAAACCTGATGCTTGTCAAAATAAGGTTAAATATTCCTTTAAAACTTTGCCATTCCACAGCCATTTCAATCATTTGTTTTTTTACGAGCTCCATTTGGCTTAGGAACCTGGCCTTAGTAACCAGGCCTGTTAACTTTGTAACTTTATACTTTGTAACTTTATTTGATTCA